AGTGACTCACATACCAACTCCCCCGACGTCGACATCTACGACTTCACAGCCTCCTCTCCTCCTCTGCCCCCAACCCTCCCTCTTCCACCTCTACCTCCGAACCCGCCGCCACCGCCACAACCAGTACAACAGCAACTACCCACAATCCCCCACCACCACCTCCTCCACCACCCACCCGCACCAGAACAGCCCGAAAATCCTCCATGGCCGCCGCCGCCGCCCTCCGCTCCCTCCTCGACGAGGAAGAGGAGGAACAACCCAACGCAAAACCCGCAAAACCCAAGGCAGCACAACACTCCCGGAAACGCGCGTCCATGCAGGCGCCAAAGAGGAGTTCGATGCTCGTAGGCGCAGGGAGGATGTTGAAGACGAGGCCGATACTAGCGGTGTCAGTCATAGCTCGGTGGGGTCTGAGGGTTTTGAGGGTGCTGGGGAGGGTATGGAGAAAGGGGGGAGGGGAGAGGGTGAGTAGGAGGAGGAGTATGATGATATGATTTTTAGTTTCTTTTGTTGGCTTTCTTTTGTCGGTGGGTCGCACAGCGTTTGGCGTTGTTCAGGGGATTGGATGAACTGAGGGCTAGAGTACGTCTGGATTGGAGATGTGTTAGGGTACTGTTGCTGAGTGGCTCGGTTTCTCCGGGTTTTGGGGTGGGAGATTGGCTGGTGCGATACCAACTTGTCTTTGTATACTCGTGTTGAGCAATATCATTTTCTTGATTGGATTCGAGTCAGGGCTGGTGCGGCGACTGAATGGCAGCATCGAAGCCAAGATGGCACAGTGAAAGCTGAACGAGAATTTGAATGCTTTCTCGCTGACAGCGAATATATATATCTCCTTCCTCTCTACGGCTTTGCTCTTCTCTAGACCTAAAACTTGTGTCGGTAGCTTCAGGCACTCTCTTTGCCGACTATCCAAGTCGGCCGCACACCTGCCTATTAGTACCATCACAAGCCCAACCGGCCTGAAGGTGTCGTCTTTGCTACCTCGCCGCTCAACAATCCCCCTTAGATGGCCCAGCATAAGGGGAATCTACGTCCGCCTCGACGAACCCGTCACCCCGCCCTCTCCCCTCCCGGTACCGTACTCCCGAGGCTCGATTCGGATATTCCTATGGCTGTGTCTTGCCAACCCATGATCTTCTTTCCCATTCTCCGTCTCATGACGCGCCCGTCGGCTCAACCGGCTGGGTGTACGTGACTTTCTCCACCGCCACATTTTCTGCGCCATTCTCCCCTTTCCTCAGCTGATAAACGTACAGCGTCAACGAGATCCCTTGCACCTGCCACCATTGTATTAGCAAAACCCCAACCACCAACCCCGTTTCTTGCGAAGACACTTACATCCATCAAACAGAAACTCGGCACCATCCCCCCTCTTCCTCCCCCTCCCCTCCACTAAACGCCCCGGTAGCACTCCCCGGATTCACAAAAAACTTATCCATATACTCAAAGCACTCAAACCTGTGCGCGCCGCCACTCCAGCACAGCACATCCACATCCAGTCGATGCGCCTCAGCAAGCAGCACGTCTGGCTCGTCGCTGACAAGGGTAAAGCCCTCGAGGAAGCCGACGCGCAAGGCGCCGTGCGTGACGACTTGCGTGAGCGGGAGGGAGGTGGCCTCAACGTCCATCCGGCCGCGCACCATTTTGAGGTCGGGCGAAATGCTGCGCAGGTAGTCGTAGGTTGAGCGGTCGGTTAGGTTGCCGAGGCAGAGGGTTTGGGCGATTTTGCCGGGGGAGAGGAGTTTTTTGAACTGTGTCGGGGAGCAGGTGTTAGTGGCCATGGTTGAGAACAGAGGGGGGATATGGGTGAGGAGTTAAGGAACGGGAGGAGGGACGGCGAACCTTGGGAGGAATGCTCACGGTCCAGCCCGCGGCACGATGTCACCCCCACTCTTGGCGGACGCCGGCGACGGGGAGCGGCTGGAGGCGGCGGACAGCGCCGCGCCCTGGAAAGACAAGCATTGATTGCCATTCTGTTGCCAATTGCGCGCGAAACCCCCGATTCACGGCCAGATTGCCCGCGCCCTTCAACTGTTGATGACTGTTGTCACGGCGACTAGCCAGACTGCGGGAGACGACATCCTGGTTCCGACCGTCCGCTGCTGAGTCTAGCCGGTGGGACAGAATTCTCTCCTCCGTCGCCCCGCCGCCACGGCCCTACTAATAGTGACGCTGTGCTTCCGTGCTGAATTCTCGGGGTTTCTGAGTCTTCTCTGCTTGCTCAATTCTGTTGGTCTGAGATCTGCTCCTGCAAACACTTTGCTTCAGGAGACATCCCTGCATTAACCCTTCCCGACCCTGCTTGCTGTCCCTCCACGCCCTCCAGATTACACGTGTAGTGGGGAGCGCTGCACGTCCATGGTGCTACCCGAGGTATCCAAGCTGGCGCAGACTCCGCGCTCGGTGTTCAGACAAGTCCAGCGGATAGCTCCGGCCTCGATGCCCCGCCCCAACCCGCCGGACCACCCCGCCCGGCTGTCGCTCATCTCGCGGCACCTCGCCCCGTCTATCCCATCAACACCCCCTTCACCGTCGAGCGTCTCCCCGACACCACCCTCGACTCCTCGCTGCTGCCCAAAACACAGACACGCAGTCTTTCCAGCACCACATCCAAGCCAACCATGTCCGCCCAGCCGCCGCACGCCACCCTCCTCATCCCGGGGCCCATCGAGTTTGACGATGCCGTCCTGCAGTCCATGAGTCACTTCAGGTACGCTGCCACACACCATTTTTGCATTCCTCGCTAACAATTGTCCCTCCAGCGAGAGCCACGTCAGCGCGGGCTTCGTCTCCGTCTTCGGCGACACCCTGTCGATGCTGCGCAAGCTGTTTCAAACCACCGCCCCCTCCGCGCAGCCCTTCATCCTCTCCGGCTCTGGCACTCTGGGCTGGGACATCGTGGCGGCCAACCTCGTCGAGGCCGGCGAGGACGTGCTGGTGCTCGGCACGGGCTACTTCAGCGACGGGTTCGCCGACTGCCTGCGCGTGTACGGCGCCAACGTCACCGAGCTCAAGGCGCCCGTCGGCACCAAGCCGCAGCTGGCCGAGGTTGAGAAGGCGTTGGGTGAGAAGCGGTATAAGGCGGTGACTGTGACGCATGTGGATACGTCAACGGGGGTGCTGAGTGAGTTGAGGGAGTTGACGAAGTTGGTGCGCAGGGTGTCGCCCGAGACGCTGGTGTTGGTGGATGGTGTGTGCAGTGTGGCATGCGAGGAGATTGAGTTTGATGCGTGGGATCTGGATGCGGTGGTGACTGCTTCGCAGAAGGCGATTGGTTGCCCCGCGGGTTTGTCCATCTCCATGTTCAGCGGCCGCGCGATGCAGGCTTTCCAGAACCGCAAGACGCCTCCCGCGGCGTACTTTGCTTCCATGAAGAACTGGACACCCAGTAAGCCCCCTCTCCCACCCCTTTCCCACCCCTTTCCCACCACCACCACTAACCCCCATTAGTCATGCAAAACTACGAAGCCAAAAAGCCCTCTTACTTCGCCACCCCCTCTCCCCAACTTATTCACGCGCTGCACACTGCGCTGTCCCAAATCCTCACGCGCCCGGTCGCGGAGCGCTTCGCGGGCCACCGCGCCGGCTCCGACAAGGTCAAGGCGGCCGTGGCTGCCCTGGGGCTCAAGCAGGTCGCCGCCAACCCCGACGAACAGGCCCACGGCATGACGGCTATCTACCTGCCCGAGGGCGTCAAGGGTGCCGACTTGCTGCCACTGCTGGCCAAGAAGGGGGTTGTTTTTGCCGGCGGCATTCATAAGGAGATTGCGGCGAAGTATATTCGGTTTGGGCATATGGGTGTTAGCGTGGTGAGTACAAACTGCTCTTGGTGGTTATTGCGTGTGTGTTTGTGGGGAGTTGAAGACTAATGGTGTTCCAGCTTGATCCGAACAGAAAGGACATTGACCATGCGCTGAAGGCGCTGGAGGAGTCGTTGGCGGAGTGTGGGTATAAGAAGCCATAGATTGGGGGTTTAGATTGGGGTCATGGGCTAGAGGGCCGGTCATAGATTGGGGGATACAGGGACCGGGAGATAGAAATGGATTCGATGCAAGCAGTTGTTCTGTCAATGTGCCAAACTGACTGTGTGACACTCTTGGTGTCTGAAAGTGAGAAGGGCAACTTGAGGCTAGTGTGTGTATAAAAGTTGAAGTTCATAAGTCGATATGGGTCTAAGAAAAAAAGAACAGACGAAAGGCACTTGACAGAAAGGGAAGAAGTCGTCCATATCATACCTACCTGTGCCTGGAGAGGTGAGTACTTCGGTATTTTGTTGAGAGACTAAGACTCTTGTTACCGGACGATATCGTGGACTAAGGTATCGGACCTATAAGGGAAAACCTGGCCCTTGCCTGTAGTCTCACACCTTGCTTGCCGTTGATGCGCATGATATCGATTCTCTCCTTCTCCTGGCTGGACCTGCCTCCTGAAGCAGGTTGGTTATAAGACGGAAAACAATGGGCAGAACATTTGCTCCTACACTAGAGATTGGAAAAGGAACTAGTTGAAAAGAGCGATAGACAACGAAAAGAGATAAGAAAATGGAGATAAGAAAGCAACGATGTAAAAAGAGGGAAGAACCTCGGGATCAAATTGGAGATACTGGTATGTATATGTATAGAATGAATTGCTCGAAAGAGAGAAGGATGGAAGATGAATAGACAGAAGAGACTGAAAGTACTCTGCAAACGAAGCAGGAGAGGTCTCTTTGAACAAAGAGGAAAAGCCAAATTTAGGTGAGCCTGAGCTTTTAGGTTGCATGCAAGTTAAGCAAAGAACAAAGGAAGTGTGTTGAAGCAAAAGAGACAATGTCAACGAAAAGAACAGAGGTGCAACGCTAGCTAATGATTGACCTTAAGAAGGTGAGAAGGTAGGGTAGTTAACTAGTTGTAGTTTTGGTGAAAGTAATAGTTAGAACTGGAGCAGAATCCAAATTCTTTTTATTTTTTATAAAAAAATAATTAAATAAAAAACCTTTCAAAGAAGGAGACAGTTGTTGACCCTGACCCGATTTGAACGGATAACCTTTCGATCGCCTATGAACTGGAGTCGAACGCGCTACCGTTGCGCCACAAGGCCCCACTTTGGATTATGATTTGAGAGGCAGTAATCTTGAATATATTTTGAATTGGTAAGCTTTTTCCAGAGTTATTTTTGATTTCATTTGTTTTTCAATCCATTTACTTTATCTTTTGACTTTTGCTTAGCACTACAATGTGTTTGGAGTTTAGAATCTCTTATCATAACTATCAAAGTACTCCTGCATTAAACCGTTGATTGTCGAGTAAAGAAGATGTGTGGTTGGGCAATTCGTGAGGTGAAGAGGTCTTCCAGAGCAAAGTGGAAGAAAAGTGGACAGTCCCTAAGCCGCATCACCATCGATGCAGCACTACACATGAACTCTCAAACAGGTCGTGGTCTTTGGAAAAACAGACCTCTTTCTTCCTCTAGTTGGGGACCATCTTTCTGAGCCACCTTTAACGACAATATTTAAATGTCGCATTTCTCCATTCAGGTGACTGGGTCCATTTCCGCTTGGCCGTCTCAATGTCACAAATCATCCTCTGCTTCAAGAGACTCGTCTTTGTTACTCTTGCAACGAATTGCTAGTATCAGATTGTTGCCCTGAATATGTTGCGTTGTGGTCAATGGGCGACATGCAGGATAGCTTACCGGAGCAAGGGGGTTCGGTGAACCGTAGAATAAGCTAAACTTTTCTCGCTCGTAATAGCAAGCTGGTTATTTTATTCGAGCCTTGTAAGTCCAGCTTATTCGCCTTTGTGCGGTTGACTTACGGCTCAAAGACTCGCGCGTCTCGAGTAAAAAGCGACTTAAGTGCTATGAAACGGAATAGGAGCGGTTAAGCTGAATGAACGGCTTTTTGGGTAGCGGCTTGAGAAGAGGAAGCCGCGATGAGTGAATTCTTTCCTATAAGCTAAAGGTTTCGCGCTTATTTTTTGATGAGAGCTCAACATTCGGCTCCTCGACGACCCCCCCACCCCTCTGCACCGGGTAAGAGGGATTTGTTTACTTCCCCTATCCGTCGCCCACCCAGGCCAGCCGGCCTCGCGCCTTCCACGCTCGGCTTGCTGCCGAACAAGGACATGAACTCTCGCTCCTGAGTTCAGGTAAGACACGATATCAGACAGCACTTCTAAGTCTTGGCTGACCTGAACGTTGATTAGAAGTTCCATCTCTCCAAGTCAGGCAACCCCAAGCACGGAGTAAGGATTGCTCTTGGGCAAAGACATGCAAATATACAGTTTGGTGGCTTCCTATTTTGCATTTGGGTCCTACATGTGAGTATATACACCTGTGCGCAAAGCATGTTCGTCAGTTTGTGTTTTTGTTGATATTTACCTTCTGCCTCCTGACATTTCTGCTTGTGTTGGGTCAGGCAAGGCCACCACACATTTATGGGCTGGCCCAGGACGGAGTTGAGCGTTTTGAAATTGATCCCGCGATATCTTCGCGCAAAGTCGGCAGTTCACGCAATTTCTCGATGCGTCCATGCTTTGATTTGCGTCTTCAACATTGTGGCTTGTGAAGAGCCGAGTCCTGATCCGCCATGGCTGGAGATGTTGTTCTTTGCTTCTGTTGTTGATGCCCTTCGAATTTTCTGTAGCTTGCCTCTACCTATTTGCAATGATCGTTGGCTTGGTACTCTGTCTGTCATGGCAATCAATGCTAACGCCTATTGTGTGAAGATGCCTTTTAACAAGAAGACCCGCGCGCCGGCTGCGCCCGCCCCTGCGCCTGCGAGGGGTATGTGCAGACTACAGCACGCCAGCATGCTCATATTAGCGGGAACAATATGATTGAGATACTGACAACATGATACTTGGCAACTTTAACCTTTCCCAACGATGCTACAGTCGATATTTCCCGGGGAAGGGGGCATCCAGCTCCGGGCGCAAGACGTTCTTGCGGCGTTGCATCAACAGGTCCCTGCCCCCCTGTTAGGAAGAGGGCGAATCCAATTCTCATCAAAAGTACATGCAGTGTAGTCAGAAACTAACGTGACAGAGTCTGCGCCGGAGGAGGAGAAGAAGGAAGTCGAGGTACCTTCACGTTTGACCAAGTCATGACAACCACAAAGCTGACTCCTGTCTGTTTCCTCAGCCCCCGCGCAAACGCCGCAAGAGAAGCGTAAGTTCTTCATGACATTACAATTTCTGGTCAGGTCGAGAGACTGATATTCATCTAAGGGCAAAAAATGGGAGCGAAGGCCCCGCGACATCGCCCGGGCCGAGGAGAAGAAGGCCAGGGAGGAGGAGAAGAAGAAGAAGAAGAAGAAGAAGGTAAAGGAGGAGGTGAAGGTGAAGGAGGAGGTGAAGGTGAAGGAGGAGGAGATATAGAGCTAATGTCTTGGAATTTGTGGGTGTTCGTGTGTTCCTTGGTTTGTGTGCACAAAGTGTTGTGACCAGAATGCCGATACTATGTTTTCAGCATCCTATGATAGATAGTGTGTCCCCATCTCCGTACCACTCAGCAGACCTCACAAATCACAAGGAGAAAGAAACAAGCAGAGTAGCTCAAAAAATAGCATTATCCAAAACCCAACCCCACCAAGATCCTCCCTGTCTATATATAAGCTTGCGATGTGTGTGTATGTAAATGCGATCAACAACAACAACCGAACCAACAACATCAACAACAACAGACATGCCATGCGTGTTGCGTGTATGTAAAAAACACCCTTGCCTATCCAGAGCAGACAACAAAAAGGGGGAGGGCAGCGCGCAGGGACACATATGTACATACATGAGGGTGAGTGGATGGATGCTGCGTGGGTGTGTAGAGAAGAATGGGGAGCTCATCATGCCTTAGAGGGAAGGCGACGGTGAAACCATGAGGGCCGAACACCCAGAGGGATCGTAACCCAGCCAGTCGCCCTGCTTGCTCTTTTTGTCCGACCAGAAACAGAAACGAAGAGTGTAAAACAATGAAAATATAGAAAAAATAACAGCGAACTTTCGCTTACGATGACGCCCGATACATGCTGGTTGATGGTGGGGAAGACGTGACATTGATACCGTTTGTATGCCGCCAGAAGATGTTTGTTGACAATTAGACAAGACCAGCCAAAAACACCGAAAAAACGATCGTGATTTGATTAACAATTATGCGAGGTAGCGCGAGGAATTAATTGGCTCGATTAATCACGCATGCTCCATGATGGCTTGAGCGTCTTGTCCATGGCGGCCGCCGTGAAGACTTGATCTCCGGGGAGGCGGCTGACACGACCAGCGCCGCTGCGGATGGCCTGGGCCTGGGCCGCCGAGAGACCGCTGCGGTTGCTGCGGATAGAGCCGGCGTCGCTGCGGTTGTCCGGTGACTCGGTGAACTTGCGGGGCGGAGCAAAGTCGAGGCCAGTGAAGGCACCAGATTTGCGGAGAAGATGACTGGCAACGTGTTAGCAATTGTTGTGATACACGAAAAAGTGCGACAGGGTAACTTACGGGCTGGGCAGGACTGTAAGCTCCTCGTAGGCATTCACCAGCGGCGAGTGCGCAGGCACGTTCATCTTGTAGGGCTTGCGCTCTCCAGAGGGGCTCTGGGAGCGGCCGCGGGCACGTTCGCCGAAGCTCTCGGGCGGGGCAAAATCGGCGGCATTAAAGAGGGCGAAGCTGTCATCCCTGAGCTTGGAGGGCGTAGGAAGAGTAGGAAGATCGGCCGGAGGAGGCATTGGTTTCCTGGGACCGCCGAACCGGCTGCCGGCGCGGTTGCCCGACATGGCAGAACCAGCACGGGGGCGGCCATAGGGTCCCGATGCCGCTGATCCCGGTCGAGAGTTCATGCTCCGCTGGTTGGAGACAGACGAGCCGGGCCTGGGAGGCCCGCGGATGTTGGGCGGCAGTCTCATATTCGCCTGAGAACCGTGGAAAGTACGCGGCGGGCCTCTCGGGCCTGGGAATCTTTGGCCTGATGGGGGCGGCGTCATGGCCCTGCGAGACACGGGCTGGGCGTAAGGCATGACGAAGGTGTTGGAAGCGGGATCGAAATATGGGGCGTCCTGGGCGTAGGCCGGGTCGTAATCTTCATAGTAGTTGGCGCTGCCGTGATGCTGGTGCTGCGGTGGCGGCTGGCGGGGAGGTTGTCGTTGCTTTTGCTGCTGGTGCTGCGCCATCGGGGGAATTGGTGGCATCGGTGGCCTATCTTCAGGTCTCGTGTCCTCGAAGTATTCCTTGTAGAAAGAGCGAATACGGTTGGCCCTGTACTCGGGATCCTCCGACTCCATGATCTCATCAGGAGGTAGGGGGCGGAAGCCGACCGAGAGACGGCGGTTGTCTTGTTGGGGGACACCCAAGCCACCCGGGCCCTCGTTTTGCTGGTCGTATAGATGCGACGTCCTCTGCATGTTCCTACCCCTGGGCTCGTCCACAGCCAGCTGCCTCTTCCGGTCATCGGGTGACGGTGCGCGGCGCTCCTGCGGGATCTCGGGCATATCCGCAAAGTCAAAGTCGTAGTAGTCGAGGGGTTCCTCAATGACGGGCGGCTTTGTCGAGGCTTGCTGCCCCTTGTGCGATGCCGGGCTGGACGACCGGCTACGGGAGGATGTTGTGGCAGTGAGAAGAGAGGCACGCGCAGATTGAGCTTGGCCCGTAACTCCAAGACCAACAACAGAACGCTCCGTTGGAGTGTCCACCTCCTCGGCATGAGGCTTCTCGAAGGGGTTACCAATATCACCATACTCAACAGCGAAGCCAGACTCGGGGAGGGCAGGTAGTGAAGGCGAGGGAACGGGCTTTGCGGCGGACTTTTGCGCGACTGGGGGAGGCTCCTGGATGCCAGTGGCAATATGATCATCCTGGGGCTGCTGCGGAGTTGAGACTGCCATGCCAATGGGAGGAAGAGGTCCTTTCGGGGGAGCGGTCGGCGGGGGAGACATTTCCCTTGGGAGCGGTTCCTGGGGTTTCATATGACTTGGCTCAGGCGGGTAGAGAGGCGACTTTGGAAGAGAGTTTTGGCGCGGAGGGCCATAGAGACCCGGGGAAGGGAGAGGGCCATCGGCGCGGCTGTTTGAGCGGCTGAAGACGGACGGGGCATCGTTGGGGCGGCGCACTGAACGGATGGAG